GTTCGTCATAGCGAAATTCACCAGGAGGCGCTCAGATCCCTGCCTGACAGCATAGCGACAACGAGCCATTATTGGTATGTTTTGGCCACCTTCAAATCGATTCAGACCGTGATCTGGTTGCAGCAATGGACGCTACTTTAGAAGGACTACGGCCATTCATCCCAGACGAGATCCCAGACAAGGGGAAGGGGAGGGACAAAAGGGATGGACCAGGGTTTAAGTAGAAGATTAGATCACAAGACCGAGGTTGGTTCGCTATGTAGTTTGCACCCGGGCACGGTTGAAGATACCCGCTGCCGGATAGTGCTCACATTTAATTGGTCGTAAGACAAGCCTCCCAGCTCAATTAGTCAAACGAACACCTTTTCAACCCTTGCCTTTCATGATAGGAAAACATGATGAACTACGAAGTGACACTGCTGAAACCGGACACAGACTAACATCATTGAACATGCTATGTATTTCGCACCCGGGCATGAATGACTAACATCATTAAACATGATAGGTTTAACTGACGAATGAAACTTTCTTGGACCGGGTGGAATGAACACTTTCTTCAGCAATCTTTTTCGACCGTTCTCAGGTTACTATACCAAGTTCCCCTGTAGAAACCTTGCCTTTCATGATAGGACGAGGCTTTGGTTTTGGCTTGGTGGGGACATCAATAGATGGTTGCTGACTGGGACCGGCCTCTGACTCCTTTTGTTTTGAAGGGACTGGTCGTTTTGCATTGACACCACTTGACTTAGTGAAATCAAAGCTATTCGAAGCTTTGGTTGTGTCCGACCTCAGATTGGTTGCTTGAGCTGGTTTGACAGTGGCTTGGATAACAGCCGAGGCAGCTCAGCATTTGACTTTGCCTGGTCGGGCACTCCTCGGGCCAAGTTTGTAACCCTTCTCTAACCGAGGAAACTTGCAGGGTGTATCCTCCTCATCAGTGAATTTTCTCTTCTTCGCTCGATCGGCCGACTCCACCCCACAGCCCAGGTCAGCTTCCCAAAATGTATCATCAGCCAAGACCTCAGTGTCCGATGGTACTTCATGGGAGAGAGCCCGGGTGTCGTTGTACCGAGGCTGAAGCTCGGGGCTGGTATCTACAGTGATCGTAGCATCGTCTGAGCCCAAATCTGATCCCGAGTCTCTATCCTCTTCCAAGGTCGGGTTGACCCTGCTAGGTTTCACTGTGGGCTCGGTCAGAGTATCCTGCTTTGGCCTCTCTTGACCATTATCGGAGTCTGAGTCACTATCATCGGAGCCATCCTCACGATGTTCGTCATGCTGTTTGGTTGGTTTCTTGGTTGGTTTCTCCACGTCCAAGTCTTCTCCATCGTCATCGGAGCCATCCCAATCAGGAGTCCAGTCATCCTTAGAAAACTGTTCGGTTCGTTTCTTGGCCGGCTTGTCCACATCCAAATCCTTCCAACTGTTGTCATCGAACTGCCGATCTTCCACCCCTTCCTTTCTCTTTGGCCTGGCTTCCTCATCTGACGGTGACTCGGTTGCTGCCCGGCCTCTCCTTTGACCCTTGCTTCTGCCGGGCTTCTTGCCCTTCCCAACACTATGAACATGAGGTTTAGGAACGTGAACTTTGA